GAGAGAGAGAGAGAGAGAGAGAGAGAGCAATTCAATGAATAGGTAAGAACAAGTGCCTGTGTAACAAAGAGAGGAAGAATATTGAACCTTCTTTGTTATAATATTGGTATGTAATACTATAGACATTTAATTAAAAATTTATAAATTTTTTCATTATATTTATCATATTTTACTTTTAATATATTAATACTTTAATAATACATAAATTAAAATCTATAACCATATGTTTTCTATTTGAATTTTTTATGTACAATATGTATATATATTTTTTTTAAATATAATGTTTAATATGTATTGTAATTTTATAAATATATCTTAAAAAGTCAATTTTATTGTAAATATATTCTTCTAGAATTATATTACAATAATAAAATACATTTTATTTATAATATAATTAATATATTTTTACATTTTTAAAAAATTAATAATTATAATTTGTTAATTTATATTTTAGAATTATTATTACTATTATAAAATATATCTAAATGATACTTGTCAAATTTTGGGTCTTTTAATACAATATATTTCCAATATAAGATTTCACCTATTAAAATCATAAAAGCTAATAAATAACCAGAAATAATAGCAAAAAATGCACCTTGTAACTTATGAAGATTAACTAATGCTTTTTCTGATTCTGCCTCTTGTCTTATTTCCATAATTTTTGGCCATTCCATAACATCATTTAACCATTTTTGAACTAATCCAATTTCTATCATGCGCCTTATCTAAGAACATATATATTGCATAAGATATATTATTATGAGATATCTTTTTTTAATGGTTTAATAATAATTTATAAAAAAAAGAATATGTACCAAAATATCAACTTTTGGTTTCAATGGTGAATTTTTTTCCATACCAAGAGCTGTTGGCATATTTATAATACATTCCTCCATAATGTGTAAATTATGTTTTGATGATATATTGTTTGCAGTTTCATTTTTTTTTTTTTCTTTTTCGAATATCTGTCGTTTCACACGGGCATATTGAAGTAAATAAGAGTTCTCATAATAACAAAAAGAACCATTTGCCACTTTTTCAATAGCTTCATCTTCATGTTTAATTATTATAAATTTATTACCAATTTCTTGGCTGCTGAAATCTGATGATTTCAAGAAAAAATTTTTGCTTTCTTCATTCAATCCCCCAACTTCCATAGAACTTTTTGCCAATTGTGCTAATGTATCAATAGTAACTCTACATTCAAATTATATAAATAATATAATATAAAATATAATACAAATATTTCAATATATAAAATATTAAATATTAAAGTATTAAATATTTATAATGAAATATATTAATAAGCTTGTTAAAATTTAAATACAAATTAAATTATATGCATATTATATTTATATATGAATTAATTCTATTAAATAATTTTATTAATTTTTACCTGGCAACTGGATTTGCTAGAGTTGCAGTCATGCTAGCTCGATAAGCAACTGCAACTAAAATACTATAAATCCACCACCATCCAATTAGTATTCGTACAGCCCAAGGGCTTGGTAAATGTGGCAATGAAACTTGAAATAACATACTATAAGTATATAAAATACTATTTCCTATTTCAGTAAATAAGTATAATCCCTTTGTTTCATTTTTTATAGATGTATTTTGACTTTTATATGAACTTATGTGCTTCTTATAAGATAATGATAAAAAATAAAATACAATACTTCCTAAAATCAAAGTGAGAATAAGTGCAATCCAAGTGTAAAATCTAAAAACAAAAAATATATATATTATTTACTTGTTAATTATGTTTCTTTAATTTATTTATTGTGAATTATATTTTTTCATTTTATACTTGCTTAAATGGAAGTATTAGCAACTTCCATGAATTTTCAGTTAATGATTCTGGTGTCAAAAAAGTAAGACATTCAATATTATATGGAATAGTGAGATCAAGATAATTCAGATTTTGCAATGTATAATGTAAATCACCCAAATAAAATGCAGCATTTTCTTCTATGGCTTTGCTTATTAGCCCAGTATCAGTTTGATTATTTCCTTCAATGTCCTTTTGTTTCAATGAAATATTTTGATGTATATAATATTTTGGTTTAAAATTCATTGCTTTTGATATGATCTGTATTAACTGAAAAAATGAAATAATACAAATATAAAATAACGTATTTTATTTATATCTTTATTTTATTTATATCTTATTTTGTATATATATGTATATATCTTATACTATATTTTATATATAATACATACTTCAAATTCTATTCCTAAACCTTGTATTATGTTATTTGGTTGTTTATTATAATATAATTTTGATTTTTCTGTTACTGCTGGAATATGTTCAAATACAGCAATTCTAAAATATATCAGAATTGTTATTAAAATGTTTTAAAAATAATAAGTATAATTATAGTCATATATAATTTTTTTATACAAACTGTAAGTGTCTTTTTTGTAAATTATTAGTTTTTTCCGTAAAATGATTGGTACCATAACGCAATTTGCCTTGATACCACGTGTCTATATATTTTGTCGCAGTAAGCCTTCTTTTACGAGGAGGAAAATAGACGGTATTCAAATCAATTTTTTCTTTGAATGATATTTCACCAGAACGATGTTTATATGCATTATATTGACGGATAAAAACTACATTAATTATTTTTTTCCAAAGATAATACAAATTTAATTGGAATAAACGTAAATCATATAACAATAAAAATAAACCATGAGTATTAATTAGACGTTCTCTGAAAATAAAAAATTAGAGATATTTTAGATTTTAATATTTGAAATATAAAATTTATGAATAAAACATAAAATATATGAATATGAATGAAAAAGAAACGGATAAAAATTGTTAATGTTAATATATTTATGATAATTATAATTACATAAATCATATAATAATGTATAAATTCATAGTTGAAGAAATATAATGTTTAAAATACATATTATTAGCATACATTAATATATATTAATATATATATTTGTAAAAAAATATGATGCAAGTATAAGCAAAGTTTAGTTGAATGTTCCCTATTATTACGTTCCGTTATTCCATATTATTTATTTTTAATATTTTATTTATTCGCTAGTATATTGAAAAAAAATTATGAAGATAATTAATATCAATTAGTGCAAAAAGTGAAAAAATCACAACAGAAGAATAAAAAAATTATAATTAAATTTTATTCAGATGATATATCACTTCGTGAAATTGAATACGGTAGGTATATAATATATAGATAGAAGATATTATTTAATATATCATAAACAAATAAAAGAGTGTATATTATTGTAAATAATTATTTGAATTCAAAATATAAAGAAAAATTTCAATTTATTTATTCAAATTTAAATTTAATTATTTAATTAGAGATATATGCCATTTCAAATTATACATCTAACACTTTGTTATAATTATGTATATTAAAAATATTCGTAATGTAAATAACACGCTATTGATAAATCTTTAAAATAATTTCTTAATTTTCTTTTTTTTTTTACAATTATTCTTATCATCAATTTATATGTAATTATATAATAATTTAAAAAGCATTGCAATGACACAATTATTCAATGTTAATTACTGAACAACTAAATAATATAATTTCAAAAAGTTTCAAAAAAATAATAAAAAATGTTTAAAATATAACATTGAATTTGAGTACCTATTTTAAATTTTCAAAAATGAAATATCCTATAATGTAAAAATAATTCAAAAAATCAATTTATATAAAAAAAATCATATGGTTATATTTAAAAAAAAAAATATGTTTACATAAGATAATAGAGGTTGTTTCACAAAATAATGTTTTAATTTATGAGATTTTCTATTGGATTTGTCTGAGACAGAAATATAATCTAATCAAGTTTATAAATTTAACTTATATTAGAAAGTTCGCAAAATTTTCGAATATCATATTATTCAAATATATTTTTCAATTACTTAAAAATAATCAGAAAAAAAAATTAGAATTTACAATGAAAATGAATACAATATAATATATACATATTTTTATATAAAATTTGCAAAAAAAATTGCATAAAATTATTTTAACAATATTTCAAGTAATATTTATTTATTATAATTTTATTTATATATTTACCTTTCTGTATATTGTAAAAATTCTGCTGTCAAATAACCATTACTGATTAGCATAATATATGCGTTACAGTCAACTGTTCTACCGTCGACTAAAATTCTTTGTATTCGTCGTCTTGGTCGTGAAAATTGTTCGTTATCACGTAATAGGATCTGCAATGCATATAATGAATAATTATATGAAAATAACTAAAAATAAATTTGAATATTTATATTACCTCATATTTTGACACATTTGAAGAACCTTTAATATTTTGAATATCTATAAGATTTTGATAAATCGAATCCGTAACAAAAATAATGCAATTTGTTTGTTCAATAATTTCCTCCACGATTTCTTCAGCAAGAGATTTTAAATTTGCTTCATTATTCTCGCATTGATGTAATTTATAAAATACTCTATTTTTTATTAATATTTAATAATTAATTATTTTTCAATTATATTCATAAATTACAAATTAATTAATTTAAATTGAAATTAAATTAAATAAAAATTAATTAAAATATCAATACCTTTTACCGGATACTAGTATGATTTGAAGAAACAACGTAACAAGTAACATTGCTTGACGATTCTACTATCAAAATGGAAATGCTGATTTAACTCAATCAGTCTTTTTAATTTGCTTTTTCGATCACAAGAAATCAAATATTTAGAGATCTCATTTACTAGGGAATTAACTTGGATAAGCAATGCAATCGATAATGCAAATGCAAGTTAGTAAACGGCAATTTTGAATAAGGTCACGGTGGATTCAGTTTATTTTTATTTTAAATCAAAAAGCAATTGTGTAATTGTACATGTACACAATATATAGTTACAGTAGACCATAGTAGCTATAGTTGTAATTTGTATTATAACAATTTTTTCTAATAATGTAAAATATTTTTTACTTAATTATATATATGATTAATTATTTGTATTAAATT